CTGAGAGGGGGCGGGAGGAGCGCGGAGGTCCGCCCTGGCCCCGCCCCGTCCTCGAGCCGCGCTGGCGTCACCACGCCGAGCTGGTCGGGCTGTCGTGCGCATGCGCTCGCTCTGTTCCCTGAAGCTCCACCCTAATCTCGGGCGTCCGCCTCGCTTCGTCTACACGCATGCGCTTTGCCCCTACTCTTGCTCCTCAGTTTCTACCTCTTGCATTCCGGAGCCTACTGTCAAGACCGGTGTCTGGGGGTGCGAAACAACGGGCTGAGACTGCGGGGCGAGTGGGTAGAGCCTCGCGATTACACAGCCGCCAGGTGCTGGGGCTCCCGGGAACGGCCCTCCCCCCCGCGTTCTCTAATTAGACTTTTCTGGTGGGTCCCAGGGCGGAGGGGGGCCCGACGCTGTAACGTTGGTCGGGGTGGATGGAGGGGACCGAGAGTCACGTGATGTTCTCTCTGGCTGGTCGACAACTGCCTCAGCCCGGAGTCCTAGGGGCCTTTACTTATTGCGTGTCAGGTCTACTAGTGAGACCTTGTGAGGTTCCTGCCACTATGGCGCTTACATGCTGGCGGGTTTTTTTATTCAGTTTGTAAATGAACCATCTACCTTGGAAATGCTTGAGTACTGTCCTCTGCCCTTCAGGGGTTCTAAATATAGTACATTTTTGTAATCCAGTTTGTGTTCGTCTGTTCCTCTACCGTCCACAGAGTTAAACGAGCCTAGATGAGACGCTCTTGTACCCTCCGTAGAGTGAAATTAATGGTAGAACCGGAATTTTGGACCTGGGGATAGTTTGGTATCTTAACTTTTGGAACTAGTAATCACCTTAACAATAACATTTTTTTTTTCAAGTACTGACCCTATGATAACCTTTAAGAGGAAGGAGTAGTATATGGTGTGGAGAGAAGGGATGGTACTCGAGTAAATCAAGACTTGCTTCTCATTTGTTTGAAGAGTAGTTGTCATTACATATAAAAAAGGAGAGACCTTTTGTTTTACAAGTTGAATTTTTAAATATGCCTGTGTTACTTTTTCAGTTAAAAAAAATAAATGTTAAGAGTTAGCCAAAATTTTTAAAAAGTTGACCCATAAAAAAAAATCATATACAGCAAAAAAAAAAAAAAAAAAGAACTACATCTGCATGAGATGGAGCAGTATGGCTGGTATTCATAACAAAACACGTAACTTTCCAGAATTTCTTTAAACATTTGCTGTATTCCCTAGATGGTGATCAAAGAACCCAGTATTTCTCAAATCAAAGTTGAAGGAGCCTCACCGCTCACTAATCTTGTCGTTGGGGGAAGGGGGGGTGTTTTGTTCTTTGCCCGCCCCCCAACCTCCCGGTACAGCAAGCGTTATACCAAACATAGTAAACAAAGTATTTGTTATATGAAACTCGATGAAACCCTGAACCAACTGAAATACAACATTAGACAAATAAAGAGGCCCTGAGTGGTTTCTTGGCTTGCCAGTATAAAATTGTAAAACAACAAAGTTGCATCATACTTTCATCTTACTCCAACTGAGTTATGCACTTGGCAGAGAGGAAATGAAAATGTTCTAGTGCAGCAATTCCGCTGGCAGTTTTACTGAGAGTGCATATTTACTCCTGCTCTCTTTCAAAGGGTGTTTGTTCTCCTGTGCCTCTTAAGTATGAGTAGCTCACTGCACTCAAGGGCAATTTAAGGAATTGCTTAATAATTTTTATTGCACTCAATTTTAACCATACTTGCTGACTTTAAGATCTAATTCCGTAGGGCTTGCAGGTGGCTTAGTGGTTGGGGGCGCTGGATTCCCATTTGTCCACCAGGTTTGGGTCCCGGATCTGGTGGCTTGCTTTCTCTCTTTCC